GACCCCGCGCGCCCTGCCCTCACCTGCCCGGGCCGGGGCGGCGCCCTCGCCCGCGCTCCTCCGCCGCTGGCGCCCGGAGGCCCACTGCGCTCCCTGGACGTCAGAGGTGCGTCGGGGGACGGGGCGCGCCCGTTCTGCTGCCCACCTTGGCTGGAGCGTCTTTCTTGCCTTGGGAGCGGTCCCCTAACCTTGAGAATTAACCTTTCTGACACTTTACAAGTTCAAAACTTAAGACCCTGCGGAAGGCTTCGCGGGTCCGGGCGCGATGGCGGCCTAGCGCCACCGCGTGGCCAAAAGCGGTCCCTGCACGCCCACACTCGGAGACGCCGTCAAGGTCGCGATGGCTCGAGCAGAGAGGCGTCTTCCCCGTGCATGAGACGTGCCGCTGGGAAAGAAACGGCCAGGTCTCGTCCCTGGCTTACAGGGGCCCTTATCTGAGAACGCGAGACGATTGCAGACGCGGAAACGCAGCTCCAGCTCCTGCTGAGCTGGCCTGGCTCCTGCAGTGGGAACAAGCGGGCCTAAACTACTGACCGGAAGGCCGTTTCCCTGTGACTTCGCGGGAGCCAGGAGCCGGGCAGGAAAGCTCCCGTGCACAGCCCAGGTGCAGAGGAGAGCGGAGCTCACCCGCCGCCGCGACCCACGGCCTGGGCGGGAAAGGGGGAGGCCGGAAGTCAGGCCAGGCGCCCCGACGGCTCAGATTGCTACCAAGCGCGTTCGTATCCTAACGGGTCCCGAGTGCTCTGCCGTGATATCCAGATCGAACTCCTGTAGTACCCAGATAACAAGAAGCCGCCGGGACCTTTGTCGTCCGGGCCACTGCACACGGCTTTGTTTTGAGTAAAGGAGCTGTTACCTTCCCACTTGCTGAGTATCTCCGGGGGGTTACGTAGTTCCCGTGGGTGCAGCACTCCTCTCTTAAAACTGTCAGGACCAACGGGAGCACGTTCTTCCCCGCTCGGGTGCCACTGCCCCGAGGTGGACCGGGCCGGGCTATAGCGCCAGCTTGGGGCCTGGGCCCCGCGGAGTCCGCCGCAGTCAGTAGCGTGGCCTGCGCCGCCGACCTGACCGCTCTCGAGGCCGACCCGAGTCCCAGGTAGCGCCTCGCCCTGACCCGCACGCTGAGCCCGCCTGGCCCTGCCTGTGCTGGTCGCCCTGAGCGTCCTGCTCGGTCCAGGCCGGCGGGTCCCGCAGCCCAGGTCTCGGCCCCCTCTCTGCACTCCCGGCTGTCTGGAATACCCTGCCCTCGGGGCTCTGAGCCGGTCAGGGTCCCTGCCCCAGCGCCGCTGCCTGTAGGCCCTGGGCTGCGGGGTCTGAGCTGCCCACACCGACGGGCCTCGCCCACCTGTGTTCTCAAAGAAACTGACACGTCGCAGTACTTGGAGCTCGGTACAGAGCTGCCCCGTGAGCGGAGGTAAGTTTACTGCCTACCACTCGTTTTAAATGGCGAGAAACAGAACACTCCTCCCTTACTGTCGGTGTCCTCAGAAAGGGTGGGGCGGGCACCCGCGGGGCGAAGCCGGCACTCCTACCCGTGAGGGGCGAACCCGGGGAAGCTTGGAGCGCCCCGAGAGCACCGCTCGCCGGGAACCGTGGCCAGGGAAAGGGACGCCTCCCCAGGCCTCCAGACCCACGGTGCGAGCGAGCGGAGCTGGGGAATATCAGCCTCTCCTCTCCCCGACCAAGCTTCAGGGGGGCCCGGGGGGCTCCCACCATCGGTGCGGGCACCACGGAGCGTGCACAGTCCCTCTCCAGGTCGGAGGCTGGTCCACAGCACAACTCCACTCCCTGAAAGGGCACCGACTGGACTCCCCCACCCAGCAAGGGCCAGTGCTTCCCCCTCGCAGGACGGCCACTGCAGGTCGGGCCTTGCTGTCGGCAGAGAATGTGGCACCTAAGGGAACGTCCATCCGCAGGAATTGACGGCCCGCTTCACAGCACAGGTGATGAAACCCGCACGGCTGTGTTACACCCTCCCCTGCCAGCAGCAGCCAGCCTGTCACCAGACCTTTCTGAAGGCAAAGACGAAGCCCAATGAGACGCAGGCACATCTTGCGGGATGTGGGACACGCGTCCCTTTAGAGACCTCTCTACAGGCTGCTCCCAACACACAGGGCCAGGACGCAACAGCAGAGCAAGGGGCCCCACTAGCCATGACTCCCATGACCCTGGGGAGATTTGTGTTGCCCCACCCCTCCACCCTCCTGCCCTGGCTCTGCAGGGTTGGAGGTCCTAGTTCTCAGGGGCATTACTCCTGCAGGGGACTCACCAAGGATCATTACACTACAAGGCACGGCTGCCACCCAGAGCACTTAACTCTCGTTCAGAGACGGGATGTCGAGGAGGCACCCTTGGGCACGGGTGCCGGCCCTGATCAGCAGGACCGGCAGGCTGCTTCTGCACAATGGCGGCAGGGAGGATGGAGCAGGCAGAAGTCCTTCCCCACAGCAACCGACAGAAATGTGAGGCAACGCCGGCCTGGTGACCAAGGGCCTAGGCTCTTCAGGATAAAGGGGCCAGTAGGCTGAAAACCACTGCAGGTCATTAGCAATGATGACGTAGTTCAAAACTGCTATTCAAGGGAGCTGTGGTACACGACCCATTTTATAAATTTCCAGCAAAAACATGTTTTAATCGAAGTTATAAGGCTGGCCGTGTGGCAGTGGTTGCTGCTGTGCACTGCAAACGGTTCCCCGCGGCCAGCTGTTGGTTGCGAGCTCCTGGAGGGAGGGCTGTAGTTCGGTCACCTGGAAATACACTTGAAAAATGGAGCTGTAAGGTCTAGGGAGTTAGGCTCATCCCCTGGGACGGCCGTCCCACAGGAGGGGGGACGCTGAGGCAGGACGGCAATCCTGGCTAGACACCATGACGGTGAATACTGAGGCAAGCTACCCACCCTTCAGGTCCCCCGCTTTTGCTTTTTAAAATGGAGAATCACTCTCCGGTCTGGTACAACTAGAAAAGACCACCAAACGAAATGGCAGTTCGAGACGGTCAGGCAACACTGATGCCGGGGAAGACATTAAAACAAACCTATTCCCCCCTCCCTAAGACAAAACCCAAACCCAGGCCAGACTGTGGCCCGGTAGGTTCCACAATGAGGCTGAACTACTGAAAGGATCCATCTGCATGGAGACCTCTGTGAGTACTCCCGAAGTGGTGCCCACGACCCGTGGCTGCCTCATCAGGAACTACACTGTGGGGTCAGGACCCAGTGGGGCAGCTGTCTTTTCCACATGAGGAATAGGCTTTAAAAATAAGAAAAAACAAGACCAACCAACCAGCCAATTAAAACTTAAAGCTCCACTGGGGCAAGCAAGTGGTGCTGGATACCACATGGATTTCGTGGTTCAAGTCCCGGAAATGAATGGGCTTGAAAACCACACAGGGTACATGTGCATGCACCCAAAATCCTGAAAGGAGAATGGAAGGGAAGGGGCTGCAGCATGGCCTTCCCCTCGAGTGGTGATATCTCACTTTCCCACTGACTTTCTCTGGTAAGCACACACACCCTATAGCAAAAAACAAAAACTTTAAACAAAAATATAATCTAAAGCTGTATTAAGATATTTAGGAATTTGTCTGGAGTCAACCTCTTAAAAATAGTGACAAAGTTACCAATCCCTTGAAGAATCTGAATTAAACCACTAAAACTGTAGTTCTTAGGTTACTAATCTTAATTCTGCCTAATTCTAAATGTGGCTTGTTAATCAAGTAATGGATGCTTAACTTCAAAATATTTAACTTGTACCAAATTTTTGGGAACTCAGAATTTTGAAACTTGAAACCCAGGCCGTTTACCTGCTGAGGTGTTTCACTCCAGGATAACAAAATAGGACTAAAATGTTACCTATCTGCTTAGACAAGAGGAGGATGTTTTCAAATGGCCAGACCACCTTAGACATTTTGATGGCTATCAATTAAAGTAACAAAGAGAAATCTGAGTGTATGGAAACCAGCAGTTAGCGTAATGGCTATGTCGCTGGACTCCCACATAGTCAACTGCGGTTCGCGTCCCAGACCCGGTGGCTTAAACTCACACCGGGCGCGTGTGCGTGCGCCCAAGATCCCGAGAGGAGAATGGAGAAAGGATTGCGGCGTGGCCATCCCCCCTGGGGGGTGATTTCTCGCTTTCTGTCTCTATGTCTCTGTCTGGCGAGCGCACGTGCCCTATAGCAAAAATCTCTCCAAAAAAAAAAAAACCTGAGTGTATGAAACCCAGGCAACCATTCTACTTGCCATTGTTTTCCACTTCGTTC